TAAGAGAGGAAAGAACACTATGTTGGGAAAGGCAGAGGATTTAAGAGGAGTGAGGAAAGGGTAAAGAATGAACAGAATATATTTTTAAAAATGTATAATTAAGTGCTATTTTGAAAGGTGATCTAGCTCACTTTTCATTACAAAGCTTGAGTTCTACAATATGAATTATAGACCTTATCAAATTTGTCTTTAAAATGCAAAGGCTATTTTGCTTCGTTTTTAAAGGGTTTGAGGCGCTGGACATTAATTAACTTTTTATATTGCATATGACATTTTCTCTAAGAATAAAAATTTAAAAAAATGTTATTACCCACAACTAACGAAGTACTGAGGATAAAATAGTGACACACTGAGTCACTGTTCTCAATTCTGAAACTTTACCATCTAGCGAATGAGACAAACAAAAATGTATAGTAACAGATGGTACTACAAAAAGAAATTTGCATAAGTGTATGCACTCTTATACATAGGATGAGCTTACTCTGATTATAAAGTAATTAATATAAATACCTGTATTGTTTTTCCAAGTCCCATGTCATCGCCGAGAATACACCCTCTTCCCTGGATGTAGTGTCTGTAGAGAAACTGAGCTCCCTCTCTTTGGTAATCACGCAAGTACCTATTAATAGTGTAAGGAATGGAGTCTCCATCTTCAGATAATTTAAAAGCATCAGCCAATGGTGGAACTTTTCGATCTGGGAAATAGGGTTTTTCTAAATCTTCATCATCAAATATAAAACTTCTGGAGAAATTTTTAGCTGATTTTACTTCTTGAAGTCTTTGAAGAGGTATTTTCTTTTCTTGAAAATCTGAATACAGGACAATTGCACATGGCTTCCCATTTTCATCCACAGTGATAGACTTTATGGTTGCTTCACAAAGCTTTTTATCATCTGAAGAAGGAGCAAGACATCTTTCTCCTGGATACCACTTGTCTATAAGAAGAAAGAAAATTAGCTTTTCTAAAAGTTCATGAAGTTATACCTCATTTATCTGAGAAAAAATATATAACATGTTTTCCAAATAACTTAAACAAAATAAATATTTATTTTCATGCATATTTTTCTAAAATATATTATCAGATGTTTTCCTATAAAATTGATTTTGATGTTCAACCAGAGCTGATATCCACTGATTTAAACATTCTTGCTGATTCATAAACATTATACACATTCTCATTATATGATACAGGAAGAGAAACAGACACAGGAAAACAACTCTTGCCACATGAGCTTTTTGTTTACTCCATTCTCCTCTGAACACAGGTATGTAAGAGGCCAAGGGAACCTCTTATCTGACTACAATGACGCCACAACCATTACAGCTTATCTATTCTTGGTGTTGAATACTTTAAATTGTAAGAGAGGGCTCTGAAAAGTATTTGAAGCTACTGCGGAACACCCGGGTTCAATTCCCAGTATTCACACAGTGGTTCACAATCATTTATAACTCCAGGTCTAAATTATCCAACACTCTCTTTGGATTTCCCTGGGTGCCAGGCATACATGTGGTGCACATAAATACATGGGCAAAACACTCATACACATTAAATAAAATAAGTCTTGAAAAGAGAGAGACAAAAATGAGTCCTACGAGCACTTTGTAAGATCCTGCCATTACTGAAGATACTGATTTCTATACACCTGAACTTACTCTGCTAACTATTCAGCCAACTGTCTTGTTTTCTCTTCTGAAGACAGCATGAGGGGGGAGAGGTTTCCTAGAATATACTACCAAGCAGCTTAAGGAGTACAAAATGGAGAACACTAAGAAAAAATAATTTTCCAAATGGAATTCCTCATTGAAAGGATCCAAGAAATTATACGGCGACAACTATAAGGATACGGAAGATTATTTTTCTTACACACTCCTCACTGATAACACAAGACCATCAGTACTTTCCTAGGATCTTCCTGAGAAGTTCCAGTTAGAACTTTAAAACATTTCTGGTTATAATGACAGGTATAGGCTGTCTTAAGCAGGAATAACTCACTATGACGGTCTTCATCAATTATTCCTCAAAAGCATTATTCCCAGTAACTTTGCTGAGATGGTTTTACTATAGGCATCCTAAGTACACATGGAAAAAACATGTTCTCCCACTCTATTCTTAAGATCCAAACTGAGAACTGTTATACTATTATGAAATTAATACCCTACTCTACTGTCCAGGCACAAAGGGTGTGCAGGTCCATGTGTCTTCTTTCTGGGACAGCGCTAGCTGAGCCTGAGCTAACGATACCATGACAGAAGTTCCTAACACATAATTTCTGTTTTAAATGATGCATCTGCCTACCTAGGAAATATCCTCTGATTTTTAAAACCTAATTCCTTGACACTCAACATACATGATTTGAACACTGATTATTTATCACTGTACCACATAATGGGTATAAAATGAAGAACAATGTCAAAAATGGTAGTGAGTAGTTTCCCTGCATCTTATTTCCAGGAATCATCTATGGATATAAATCCATACACCTTAGAACACCTGATTTTTGATAAAGAAGCAAAAAAATATCAAATGAAAAAAAGAAAGCATATTTAACAAATGGGGCTGACATAACTGAATATCAACATGTAGAAGAATGAAAATAGACCCATATCTATCACCATGCTCAAAACTCAAGTCTAAAGGATCAAAGACCTCAACATAAAGCCAGCCACATTGAACCTCATAGAAGAGAAAGTACGAAGTACATTTGAACACATTGGCACAGGAGACCACTTTCTAAACATAACCCAGTTGCACAGACACTGAGATAAACAATTAATAAATGGGACCTCCTGAAACTGAAAAGCTTCTGTAAATCAACGAACATGGTCAACAAGACAAATGACAGCCTACAGAATGGGAAAGATCTTCACCAACCCCACATTGGACAGAGGGCTGATCTCCAAAATATACAAAGAACTCAAGAAATTGGTCATCAAAAGAATAAATAATCCAATAAAAAAATGGAGTAGAGACTTAAACAGAGAACTCTCAACAAAGGAATCTAAAATGACTGAAAGATACTTAAAGAAATGCTCAACATCCTTAGTCATCAGAGAAATGCAAATCAAAACAACTCTGAGATTCCATCTTACACCTGTCAGAATGGCCAAGATCAAAAACACTGATGACAACTTATGCTGGAGAGGTTGTAGGGAAAAGGGAACACTCCTCCATTGCTGGTGAGAATGCAAGCTGGTACAGCCCCTTTGGATGTCAGTGTGGCGATTTCTCAGAAAATTAGGAAACAACCTCTTCAAGACCCAGTAATACCACTTTTGGGTATATGCTCAAAGGATGCTTAATCATACCACAAGGACATGTGCTCAACTATGTTCATAGCAGAACCTATGTTTGTCATAGCCAGAACCTGAAAACAACCTAAATGCCCCTTGACCAAAGAGCGGATAAGGAAAATGTGGTACATTTACACAATGGAGTACTACACAGCAGGAAAAAAAATGACATCTTGAAATTTGCAGGCAAATGGATGGAGCTAGTAAATATCATATTGAGTGAGGTAACCCAGACCCAGAAAGACTGTTATCATATGTACTCACTCGTAAGTGGTTTATAAACATAAAGCAAAGAAAACCAGCCTACAAATCACAATCCCAGAGAACCTAGACAATAATGAGGACCCTAAGAGACATACATAGACCTAATCTACATGGGTAATAGAAAAAGACAAGATCTCCTTTGTAAATTGGGAGCATGGGGACCATGGGAGAGGGTTGAAGGGGAGGGGAGAGAGAGGAAGGGGAGCAGAGAAAAATGTAGAGCTCAATAAAATAAAAAAAAAAAAGCTCTACTTATTTGCCTTTAGTAGACAGACTCACAAAGGCATTTATATTCGTGGGCCCTTAATTATGATGACTTTATCAATTTATAGCCCCGGAGTTCAAGGCTTGTTGCCTACTCTGAGATTTAGCACTGGATCCCGCCTTGCTTTCATGAGAGACCTTCCTCAAAAGAAAAGCAAAATTTATCAGAAGATTCCTGGGCAACAAACACTCAACTGTGTATCCGTTCTGTAAGGTGTGTAGGATGCTCCACCTGTAAGCCAATTTGCTGCTAACACTGGTGGCCTGGGCTCCATCCCCAGAGCTCACAAGGTGGAAGGAGAGAACTGACTTGCTTAAGTTGTCCTCTAATGTCCACATACCTGGTGCGTGCACACATAGACATACACAAAACGATTTTTAATAAGTTATAGCAATCACTGTAATTAATAAAAGTTAGGGGACAAGCCTACATCCTGATACTTATGAGATAACCATGCCTTCTTCAAAACCTCTTGGTGATCTACTAGAGGCAGAATTCTGCTTCAATACTCCATGTAATAAGCTGTGTAATAAGGCTAAAACTTAACTAAATAGACCTTCACTCACCCACTTAACAAATTCCTACTATCGACTAGTGACTGGCATATACAAAGACGGAAAGGAAAAATATCTAATATCTACTGAATGCTCAGTACGGGTCAAAAGTGGAGTCGCTTGCATATATCTCATCTAATAGTCAGGAAACCCAACTGTCCCCATTGAAAAGATGAGGTGTCTGCTCCCAAGGCGAGGGGCAGCACTAAATCCTGATGTTCAGGTTCCCGCGGTGATAGGGGTCTAAATCGTCAGCTGCCAATCAAAAAAACCACGCGGAAGCCTCTCCCGGAAGTCCCTTCGGGGCGTGTGTCAGCGCAGAGGCGGGAGCTCGGAGCTCATACCTTTGCGGGATCCCGCGCGGGGCTGCGGGGAGGAGGCGTCCATCGGGCCAGGAGGAGGCGCCTGGCAGCCCCGCTGCTCTCGACATCTAGCGGTCGGCGGCGAGGAGGGCACGGCACAGAGGCCGCCCGCCTCGCATCGCCCGCCGGGAGCGCCGAGCTCAGGGTGGGCGTCACCACGGCGACCAGCAGCAGTCCCGAAATCCCGCGAGAACGCCCCCCCCCAGGCGCTCCCTGCAGATATCGCGGGAAGGTGGGTTAGGCTTTAAGTCGGCTCCAGCGAACTCCCTTCCGGACTAGGTCGGCCCGAACGGTCCGCGACATCCCAAATATCGCGAGATTTAGTACTCATTGCTGACTTCGAACTTTTATTATCTATTTATTTTTGCTGAGGCTCGAGGTGAGTGGTGTCCCCCAAGAGCGGGAAAGGACAGTGTGAACCTTGCAAAGACTGCTGTCCTTGTACTTTCTTCGTCGTCTGGGAGCTTCAGGACGGCGAGCTTTAAGAGGTCGTCTTATTGGGTTTACCCAGTTTATTGTAACAGAACCAGCCGCCCTGACACAAACAAGGTAAACAGGGGGTTCGGTTAACTAACCTCGGAGTGTTAACCTCGTGAAACGCCCTGAGGAAGAAGCGCACACCACGCAGCCTGTCACCCTCTCCAGCAGGAGCTAAATGGATGCTGCCCGTTGTCTGACACCTCACCGCCAAGTTAATGAAGCCAGAGTGTCTTTTTGCACGTGTTAAAGTGTTAGTGTACTACGCAGTATGTCGTTGATTTAGCTGGAATAAGCCTCTTGCCTATTGCGGTTGTAACCGGTTTCCACAAACCTTTTTGTTTTAAACAGCATTAATGTGTTTATGATTTGTGTAGGCCACAATTCCTATACGAGTCTCCTGAAGCTAAAATCCAATGTCAGAGAAGCTGCATTCCTTCCCGAAGGTGGAAGAAATCATGACTCCTCGACTTGACCAGGATGGATTCAGAGCTCACCAGAATAATCTCATTTCCATGTCTGCATTCTTAACCGCATCAGAAAAGACCCTTATGAAATATAAATAATAATAATAAAAAGTGTATGGTTCCTGGATTTATAGAGACAAATTTCTTTGCTCCAGGAATCATTATCCTGCCTATTATAAGACCTTTTTTGAATACACTATGCCTGTTCTACAAAGCGATCTCCATTCTTTGCAGTTACCAAAAGTTAATATCCCTGGTCACAGTAAGAAATGTTTGTTCATATAAATATGAAATACATCCACTTAAAATTTAATGCTACATAGGTTAATATTTTGACTGGTAGTTTATTGTACCATATTATTTTTGATCCATTGATCCTAACTTAAGACCCCCATCTATTATAGGACATATTTTAGATACAACCATTGAAAACTATTAATTACAACCTTTGATTCTAGCATACATTTTGATGTATTCCTTATCTTACTTAAACTCTTCTCACATACTCTTTGAAATCAAAATGATAAATAGAAATTTTAATCAAGCTTGTTTTTTGTTTTTTTGCTACAAGAAAAGTTTGGCTCTTCCCCACCCTCCAATCTGCTATCCATTGATATCATTAATTGTATATTGTCTTGATTTTCTAGAGGTCTGTTGATTTAAGATGTAGAATCTTACAGAGCTGACCTGTAACTACAAATGACTTGATAAACCCAAAATAAGTTTGTAAATTTAAATACAAGAAATCAACTTGTTGAAGGAATATTCTTATGACTAGCAAGAAAAAAGACACCTCATCCTTGAGTGTCTATTATGTAACTGCATTGCAATGCTTGTCCTGTACAATGAAATGGAAACAGTCATAACATGAAACTGTCTTAAAGATCTACATGCTTCATAAAGTTAAGCATCGGTAACATTCTTCCTGCCTTTACCAGTAGCTTTTGTTGTTGCCAGTTGTCTGTCATTCCCTTGTGGGAATGCTGATATTGTGAACCTCCAAACACTATCATGCCATTTATTTCAAAGTGAAATTGGTATATTTAAGAATTCCTGAAGTCAATTATAAGTATTGTTGCATTGACTGTGTTGCATGCAAAACCACTAGCAATAGAGAACCTAGAAAAATTAAGCCAAATTAGACTACAAAAGTAGGATTGTGGTGTAGCACACCTGGAATATAAGCACATACTTGGCATGCACGAGACCCAAGATTCAACCCTCAGCACCCAATACAATCATCACAGCATAAGCATTTCAAAGGATTTTACTTGAATATCAAGAGACTTTAAGATGATTAACCCCACAATACCTTATTAAAATTGGTTTCTATTTAAGCTCACAATGTAAAAGATAAGTGTATATTCTGAGGCAAAGGCCTTTAAAATGATGGATTAATCCATCAAAAGGCTCAGAAAAAAAAGGTATGAAAACATAAGACAACTCAAGAATGTTGTTAAGTTTTATTAGTTATATGAGTTTGGGTTGTAACCTTTCTCCCTTGATATATTGTCCCAGCCAATGAAAAGAAAGTGAGATGGAAGACGATGTAAATGAGAGCAAGAGAAAAGAAATGAAGTAGATGTATCCTTGTTTGCCAATAAGTCTTAATATATAACATTTTAAAATCTTAACATTTAAAAATCAAGGGTGTCGGGATGTAGTTCAGTTGATGTATGTCCATCATACAGGAAGCCCTGTGTTCAACCCCCAGCATCACAGAGTGGTGACACACATCTGTCACTAGGGGTGCAGAGGCATAAGGATCAGAAGTACAAAGTCATCGGCAGCCACATAGCAAGTGTGAGGCCAGTCTGGAATATGTGAGGCTCTGTCCCAAAACAGGTCCTTGTGTGTGATAGATAGGCAAGGGCTCCATCACTGAGCTGTGTTCCCAGCCTTCCTGACTTGTTCTCATGTAAGGTCTTTAAAATTGTGTACAGAAGAAATCTTTAGATTTGAAGAACTAAAGCCTGTGACTTTGGTGTGGTAGTCCATCTAATGGCAGATAATAAGCCTAAAATTCTGCAACTAAACAAGAACTGGTATTGTTTACTGATGGCCCGGTCAGTAAAGTGATCTGAGTTCAGACTGCCAGCTTCTGTATAAAAAGTCTAGGAATGGGTGTGTGCACCCATAACCCTGGTGCTGGTTGTGGAGGGAAGAAGACAGGTGGATTCCGTAAGCTTTTAGCCAGTTATTCAGTGAGCCCTGGTTTCAACCAGAGACTCCAAAATGATTAGTGGAGATCAAGGAAGACATGTATCAACCTCTGTACATATACATATGTTTACACATATGAACACAGGTACACACAATCACCAATAAGTACTGGATGAAATACTTCTGTCAAATTACTAAGATGTATAATTTACCTCTCAAAAATACATTACAAGCACACAGGACATCTAAGTAAGGAACTGAAAGCTGGCTTATTGAAGTGGTACTTAACCCACTGCTATCATGAAGGCATTCACCTGTCTCAGTTACATAACCATGAATTTTAACAGTCTTGGCCAGAAGACAGCTTTCATCCACACAGAGTCTTATTAAAACCCATGTTGGAAGTAAAACTCTCCATTTAAAATAAGAAAATTTGAAATACAATGTTCTTCAGGAAATGGCAAACTAAAACTAAAACCTAGACAACGGGAAAAGAGGATGTGCTTGAGAATCCTTTTCAAGGATTTTCTATGCTGTTGATTTTCTGTGACATTTTCCTGTATCTGCAGGCAGATTTAGAGTTCTCATTTGCACACAATCTGGAAATTCCAAACAATAAGAGTGTAGTACCAGATTATTGCATCCAGGTAGCTGGAAAGAAGCCAGTGCATACTTTCAAGTGAGACCATGTTAAAGATTCCACAGACCTCAGAGATAAAGCCCTATCCTGCAATTTACAATCCCCAAACTGAAACAAATATATAAAAATAAGCCATCATGAACAAGACACAGCATAAAAATATTTCCAACAAAAATAGTACCCTGGTAGTTTTTATTATTAGAATAATAGGCATTTTTTTAACTGTCGCTCAAATATTTATTGATGCTTTAAATACTGGACAGAAAGCAAGAAAGTAAATAAAAGGCTCTGTCAAGAAGTGCCAGATAGCCAGGCACATACGTTTAATCTCAGTACTCAAGAAGCAGAGTCAGGTAGATCTCTGAGTCTGGAACTGGTCCCTGGTCTGTATAGGGAATTCCAAGCCAGCCAGAGCTACACAGTGAAGCGCTGTCTCAAAAAAGTCTAGATAGATTATTTTTAAATTCTAGAAATGTAAATTTTAGTTACTGAAATATAAAACTCAACAGTAAAATAAAGAGCACATGAAACACATGATGGAGGAGGGTTATCTGTCTATTGTGTTATTTTCATTGGTCAATAAAGAAACTGCCTTGGCCCTTTGATAGGACAGAAAATTAGGTAGGCCGAGTAAACAGAACAGAATGCTGGGAAGAGGGCAATGGGGCAGATGCCATGGAGCCAGCCACCAGGTCAGACATGCTGAATCTTTCCCGGTAAGCCACACCTTGTGGTGCTATACAGATTATTAGAAATGGGTTAATCAAGATGTGAGAGTTAGCCAGTAACTAACTCTCTAGAGATAATGGGCCAGGCAGTATTTAAATGAATACAGCTTATGTGTTATTATTTCTGGGGCTAAGCTAGCCGTGCAGGAGCTGGGCAGGATGAAAAGCAGGCCTGCCTGCAGCTCCTCACTACAAACACATCTTAACAACAACAACAAAAAAATTATGAACTGAAAGTTCTGCGGGAATGTCCCCAAATACAGTGTAAAAGATCAAGAAGCCGTGAAGCAGAAAAGAAAGAAAAAAGCAAATTCAGATGAAAGGTAAAAATCTAATTGAAGACCTAGAAGTAAAGACTAGAGAGCCTGAGAAGAGATAATGTTCAAAGAAATTTCTGATGTCTTTAGACGAGGGAAGTGTGCAGAGTGAGTGGTGTGTATAAACAAAATGCATTACTAGACATAGAAGGGAAACTACAGAAGAAAGTAGCAAAGAATCTGGAGATCTTGAGAGTCCGTAAAAAGGTCAGATTACCTCTCAATGGAATGACACCAAGACGAGCAGACATCTCCATAGTAACACTGAAGTCTGAGACAATAGAAGAGCGACTTCAAAGTGCCAACGGGAGATAGCTGCCAACCTAGGCTTTAATTAAGGCAAATAATATTTTCAGACAAGACCAGTGAACTTTCACTACAGAATCTGTTAAAGGATTTTGAACTTAAATTTTTAAACTTTAAGAAGGAATGATTAGCCTAAAAAATTGGTAGGCAATTACTGGCCTTATAAAGCAACAACCCACAATAATAGAAATAATTTGAATATATAAAAATAAGAGAAAATGAGAATGTTGTATAATAACATACAAAACGACTACAGTGCTGCAGCTTAGATGTAGCACACCTTCCGAAGCTTCATGTGAGAAATCCTTACTCGCCAGCCTGGCACTCCTGGGAGGTAACGAAAACTTTTAAGAAGTAGAGGCTGGTGGGAGGACTCAGGCCACTGGGAACATGCCCTTAAGGAGATACTGAGATCCCAGGCTCTCCTCTTTTTCTCTTTAAATTGTGGACTCCTCGACGTAAGTAGCTTATTGTACCATGTACCCCTGTCATGACATTTCAGGCCCAGAAACAATGGGGCCAAGGCACTATCAGCTGAAACCCCCAAAACTGAGCCAAGCATTTCCTCCTTTTAAGTTACAGTAACAGACAGCTGCAGACAGTGAAGGCATGTGAAGAGTTAAAAGATGCTTTTGCTGGAAAAGAAAGCGGGCATTGATGAACTTCTGATGGAGACTTCACATTAAATGTTAGTATAGTTAAATATTAAAGGGGTATACAAGTTTTCAATAGGAAAAGATAAAACTCAGTCACCCCAATTAAGGCAGGTATGATAGCATAAACATGAAATTTCTCCCCTAGGGAAGCCACTGACTTCCTAACTCACAGCTGGCAGCCCTGATTTGGAAAGTTCTAGAAATGTTAGGGGATGGAATATTGTTCCAGGAGGTAGGTCACTGCGATCATGCCTTTGAAGGTCTCGTCTCCTTTCCTTACTCTGCTTCTACCCTCCATAAAATTAAACGAGTCCCTCAGAAGATAAAAGGCTTCTACTGCTGTGTTCGGCTTCACTGTGACCCTGAAATTCATACAACCAATAACTATTGACTACGACTTCGAGTGAAACAAATCATGCTTCATGTTGTTCATTCTGTCACATGGATGAGAAAACCAACTAGCACAGCAGGGACAGGAAAAGATGAGTAAACCATGGTTAACAGAAATCACCAAGTAGTACAAGTTAACCCACATTTCAAAAAGAGCAGACATGCTGGATTAAGTTGCCTAAAGAAGACTCAATGAAGACTAAATGCAGCTGCATTTCATGAGACAGGTGTAAACAGAAAAATATCAAAGCAAGATTGAGAGTAAAATCAAGGTGAAGAAAGAAATGCTGAGTACTTCATAAAGATAGCAGACCTGACAAAGTGAACATCAATGCAGAGAGTCTTAAAGATAAGGGGACAGTATAAATCAGAAAACCTATTACTGTGAGTTCAGTAGAAAGATAAGGGGACAGTATAAACCAGAAAACCTATTAATGTCAGTTCAGTAGAAAGGCTCACGCACTTGAGAGAGGCTGACTCCCAGAGTTTATTGTGACAAGATGTGCATTTCCTCCGGAAGTGATGTGAGTCATAGGTGAGTGAAAGCCAGAGAGATTTAAAGATGACCCCAGTTAGAACTTGAACAACTGGCTTCTTGGTGAGAAGGTAGTGAGTCTGAAGAACATGGAAAGGCGTCCAGGTGGGAGGATGTCTGAGGAAGATCTATGCAACCTCATGGAAGAACCTTGCTACTCTTTATTTTATATCCCAAACTAATCCTGGGGAAGTTAGAAGCATTCTGGGGAGTGGGAGCAAAGGCACAGCATAAGCCATATAAAGACGCAATCACCCCCACCATGTTCACAGTAAACAACTTACAGCAAGTCTGGACTCTGCAAGGCCATTACCTTAAAGTTGAATGAATGAAATACTACATATCAAAGTTTCTTGTTGGTATAAAAATAAGTTTCACAATAGCCTGGGATGGGGTATAGCAACGGGTTATTTATCTGGGGATAAACTCACAGTAAGAGTAGCAATCCGCAGTCCTCTGTGTATGCTGGGAACTGGAACCAAATTCAGCAGCCAATAAGGTCACACATGCTTTTTGTCTGCATTTCTAGTACATAAGACCACACCCAAAGTGGGCCGATATCTATTTAAATAATTTAGGATTGTGTTGGCATGAGACATGATTGCTCCTGGCAGCACTGATCTATTCCCGAGAGAATGTTGGGCACCAAAGACACTCCACCTAGAGCTTGCTTTCTTCTTTGTAAAACCGGTCTTTGGGGAAAGAACTGCCCCTGCCTCAACTACTAATAAAATGGAGCAAACAACTTCCAAAAATATAGAAATGACAGAAATAGCTTGCTACCTGGTCAGTCATCTAATGTTTCTCTGCAACACTGAAGCATTTATCTTCAGCCTACAAGCCTAAAATATCTTATAGACTTTTCTGTGAAGCAGGAATTTTGAAGGACTGTTCTATCTTGTCTTAGCAAAGTTAGGCAGTTGTCATTTTTTTGTATCCTGCCTATCCAGTTTGGACAGCATCTGTTAGCCGTTGAGGCAAAGGCAGTTTCTTTGCCCAGTGACTAACCTTGCCACAAATGAGAGCAAACTCCATATGGAGGTTCTTAGATGCCCATCATCCTCTTTTGAAATAAATTGGTGCTAGTAGGAGCAGACGTATCTCACTGTCATGAAAAGCCTTAGGTTATTTTATATGACCAACTACTAACCTGTATTTCTTAATTATACATTACATTTTTAAATGAGCTATATAGGTACAATACCTTAAACAAGAGTAGAAACATATATAAAGTATAGCAAAAATAACCTTAAATTTATATCAATATACAAAAGTCCAACCAATGAAAAATATTTGAGACTAGTGGTTACTCAAAAGTTGACTCAACAAACCACTATTTTATCCCATTGTCTCTATCTGTATCCCCCCTTTTCCCTTCAGAAAGAGCTCCCTGAATCTCATTTCCTTTGTTCAACTTTTTTCCTGACCATAACCAATAACTTGTAACAACCCCCCCCCCCCCAAATAATGACAAATAACCATGAACCACCAAAATGAACAAAAAACAACCACTCTTCTCTGGTGATATTTTATTTGTGATCTAACAAATAAAGGTTGCCATAGAGGCCAGGCAGTGGTGGCACTCACCTTTAATCCCAGCACTCTAGAGGCAGAGGCAAACAGATCTCTGTGAGTTCAAGGCCACCCAGGGCTACACTAGATTGATCCAGCCTAAATGAAAAACAGAGCCAGGTGGTGGTGGCTCACACCTTTGATCCCAGTGCTTGGGGTCATATGCCTTTAATCCCAACACCAGGAAGGTGGAGACAGAAAGGGATATGACTCGGCAGAGAGGAATATAAGGCAGGAGTCAGGAGTTGGAGGGATTCAGTCTGAGGACTTGTCAAGACAGAATACCCTGTTCAGTCTGAGGATTTCACAGAAGAACTAGTGGCTGACTGCTCTGCTTCTCTGATCTCTCAGTTTTCACCCCCTGATATTTGGCTCTGAGTTTTTACTTTTAAGACCAATTAGAATTCGCACTGCACCCCACTCTTGGGAATATGGGCATCATGTTCTCTAGACTTTTTCTTGTTCCCTGGGGAAACAAGAGTCTTGGAGTCTTTGGGGACCCTGAAAAAATTAGGATAATGGTCAAGTCCTGGGACAGGTAACCATAACATTTGTTGTTCAGTAAAGCACGATTAATATCAGAGACAAAAATTGGGGTTCAACCTGAAGACCAGAAAAGCAAAGTAGTCAACCACTGACTCTTACCTCTGCCTCAGTTCAAAACTGGTGATCCTACTTCCAAGAATCTCAGAATGAGACTATGAAGTCTTCAGGTTGAACCCCAATTTCTGTCTCTGAGTTTTTATTAATTGTGTTTTAGTTCAGTCTCTGTGCAATGGGAAAGTCCAAGGCTTATCTGCAGTCCTGGATAGGATTAGTCTGTGAGCCTGGACCATTTCCGCCAGCAGCCTGTAAGCTGTTCTGGATGCAGAACTCTGAGGAAACTACAGCAGGCTCTCATCGAGGCTGATTACCTGGGCCACCTGTTTTCTCTGGTGTCTGGTTCCCTTGCTCTGAAAACACGCAAACGTTTAAAGGTAACAAACATATCTGCATTAACACAAGTATGGAATGTGCAGTGTGCACAAGTTAGTTGAAGGTTTATTTTTGTTTTATGTTTGAGCAGGTAAAATACACATCACCTGTCTTCTTGTTTTCTAGGTTTATTTTTTATGTCCACAGCCATGATTTTCAGGGGGTCTCCCCTGATCAAACCTGATCTCTGTCAACCTTGACTGATTCCACAATCTTTTGATTCCTGTGGAAACAAAA